AAAAAAAACGAAATAGAGGTAGCGAACTAACAAAACAGTTATGACAAATATAAGTTTATCAAGCAGCGAGGAATCAACGCACTATCGTAGAGAGTTTAACAGACACTAAAGTCTGTAAAAGAGTAACTCAGTGACACGTAGCTACGTAGGAAATTTTGTATACAAGACAATAAGAGCGAATTTGTACTTGATACGGCTGTGATATTACTTAAGCTATCCGGCCTCAATGACGTCACAGACGTTATCTCCCCAAGTTTGACGATCCGTGGCAGCTGACATGGAAGGCTCCACCCATTCTCTTCTCCATCGACGGATTTTGGCCCAAACACTCACGTCAATTTTGGACAGAACCTAAGCCGGGTTGAACCGAAGTTTGTACATTAACTCCTTACAAAAATAAAATACTCAATACAAAAAAGCTAACAGGATCAATACAGTGAAAAATAAAGAAGGAAGGTACTCCATTTTAGAACTAAGAATATGTAATCCGATGAAGAGGGTTACGGCAAAACGCATCTGTTCCCCCTGTAAGCAAAGCTAACATATGACTAACGATTAATGATTTTAGGCTACTGACGTGAGAATGGTTCCTTTAGAAGAAGATTAATATCAAAGAAAGACGTTCTTTTGGGAAAATAAGATAACTGAATCCCCAGGTGGTCGTTAGACTTGGGAAAATGTGCAAGGAACAATTAAATTTTCAAAAGTACTGATACAGTTATATAGTCATCTGGTGTTGAAAGACACTTGCGGAAAGAGAAAATAAATGTGGCGCACAAACCGATGGCTTCTTTACGTACCCAGCTTGTACACCTTAAGGATAGGGTTGGGTACCTCGATAAGAAAGAAGTCGCCTATAAGACCTCGTGCGAGGCCTGTGATACCGTATATTGTGGCCAAACAGGAAGATCCGTCTCAACACGCATCCACGAAAACTAACTGGCAGTGGAGGGACGTGACCATTTGTCTGAAGTGGCTGTGCACTGACTTGATACAGGACACACCTTTGTGTGGGAAAAAAACACGCATTTTCGGAGTTTGTCCCTCCAAAAAAGTCCGAGAATTTCTGGAGGCCATGCACTCTGATGATTCATGCACCAACCGACGTATCGAGTTGGATAGAATGTAAAAACATCTCAAAAAGAGATAGAAGAGACGGCAGCCGATCACTACGGGATAACTAGAATCGCAACTATTAATAAGCGCCCGCACCGGATGACCCAGCCTAACACAAATTACAGTTGTCAATTAGCCATTAGGCTATTGCGACTACTAATTTTATCCGCCATGGACTGACGCAAATTGCAGCTGCCAATAGTGCCCACAATAAATGGCTATATCAATGTAACAGGACTTTTGAAATTTTAGTTGTTCGTTGCACACCTTCTCAAGTCTGACGCTGACCTGAGGATCCAGTGTCGAAAATTGACTTAATAAAGTTATCTTATTTTCCCAAAGAACGTCTTCCCTTGAAATTACATTTTTGGGATGCCTCCAATTTATACGGAAGATTAATATGGTATCGCAGATTTGGATCAAATCGAATTAACGTTAGGATACTTGGTGATATAAATCAGTATGT